CACACACACACACACACTCTCTGATGGCAGCAGTGTAATTGACAGCGTCACATGCTGCACAGAGCCTCAGGACCATGTTACACACATGGAAATGTCATGAGAGCAAATAGCTGAGTGTGGGCGTCCGTTTAATCCATGTTTGTGTGTGTGTGTGCTTGTGTGTGTGTGCGTGCATGTGTGTGTGTATGTGTGTTGAGATACAAACTGATGTAACCTCCGTGTCTTTAGCTGCTGTTAGTTGGCGTGTTGTTTGTCCAGAGTTCACTCAGTTTAAAGAACCTGTTGACTCTCTGAAGACTGAGCTTCATGATGAGAGTTCAGCACCATCCGTTCACCTCGCACACACTCGCTGATACGTTAGAGTTGACGGGTAATTAGAGGAGAGCGGGGATGGTTGTCGCATTTCTGTCTGTATCTTTTAATCCAGTGCGTTTTATTGCAAACTAGTTCCATGTGTCTGATATTAAATAGTGTAGATGTTTTCTCTGCAACACAAACTCAACATGTTGATTTAGTCTCAAACACAAGGAGGGAAATGTTACAGGATTACGGCAAAAACTTGATATTTAAAGATTTTATTCAACACTTAAATTACTCTTTAACATAACTGGCAACTGGCATGAAAGATCTCTACACATAGATGATTACAGTTTGAATAGTGAAACTACAGAGCGGACAGTAATATTACAAAATAAATTAACTTAATTAACAGTCTGTGTCTGTCACAGGGAGCTGCTTCCTCACAGGTGGAATAAGGACTAAACTGAGCACGTGCAGAGTGAATCAGGTGGTTCAGAACTTGTTCCTGATTGGAGGAATTGGCGGTGTCACAACGGTCCCTGTTGTTAACCTCCACCCTCCCTCTGCAGCCCTCGACCTCACTGCGCTGCGTGATGATGTAACCGTGGCGCTGTCCTTGGTGCTGAAGCAACACATTCATACCAACTCCTCATCTGACATTAAATCGTCTCCGAATCAAATATCAAGTTCTCTCAGCTCATTTTACGAGACGTATTGTAGCGGCGTTCAGAGCGACCTCGGTTTCCTGAAGTGGTGATATTGTTGGAGTTAAATGTTGCTTAGCGATCTTTGATTGCCATCACTACGGCAACGTTTTGGAATGAATACGGACTTCAAGGGTCGCTGCTTAAAGTCCCTGTTAATTCTCCACATGTAAACGGAGACTGACCCACTCACTGAGTCGTTGGTTTCTTTGTTTTCATCCAGGTTTATTTACTGAGCTTCACTCAAAGAGAGAGAGATCAAAGAGCTCACACTGTGGTACCAACCTGCCGGACGCCTGTTTGTTTCAGTCCGCAGCATTAGATTGTTGTTTACATTCTGTACATGTTGTTTAACTTGTCTGATACGTTGAGTATTTCGATTTTTTATTAATTTTCTTGTTTGTGTATGAATGGTCTGATGATTAGCAGCCGCTGATTGGAAGCTAATGGAGATCCGAATAAATAAACAATAAAGAATCCAGGTAACAGCTGTACTCAACGTCAGACATCGAACTGCCTCTTTAAAAACTTTTTTTGTGGCTAAAACCACCGGAAAAACAAAACTACATTTCCCATGATGGATTTCACCTTCCTGACCTGAATTTCAGTGAATCCCAACATGCGATCGATCACATGTCTTAAAAAACACGTACCCAGTCTGAAAGGGTTAATGAAAAACAAATCAGATTGTTTTTAGACTCCCGTTTGATTGTGAAGCCAAAAAAACAGTTTATTAATTAGGTTTAATGTCTAGACTGATATAAACACGTGAATAACCCCCCCCCCCCAACCAACGTCCTCCCCTGTGATGGACAGTATATTTCATTTATTTATGTGACCCAGCTGTTGAACATAGAGCTGCAGGTTCTGTAAACGATGTTAACATCAGCTGACTCCAGATCTGATTTGGTTTTAATTTCACCTGCAGATTCAGTGAAACAACTGAAACATTAACGCTGCAGCTCTCACACACACACACACACACACACACACACACACACACACACACACACACACACACACACACACACACACACACACACACACACACACTCTCACTCCTGCTCTGTGCTATAAACTTCTGCTTCAGTGAAACAACCTCTGAGCTGCTAAACCTTCAGTCATGTCTTATTTAAACAGGTTTATTTTTTCATGTGTTTGGGCCTGAATCTTCTTTCTCTGAGCGTCTGAACGCGGAGGAAACGTCTCAGGTCAGAGAAAGTACGGCACAGTTTCTGCTTCTCGGCTGATGATTAGTTCAGATGAATCTTTAACGAGCCCTGTGGGGAAACGAGGAAGCTCAGGCAGGATTTGATCAAGTGGTTTCAGAGGCGGCAGATTGAACCACTCGGCTATCTCCTGCTGTCTCCAGCGCTGCCCTTATCTCCCTCTGACCTTCATCCGTCTCCGCTGTGAGCTCCGTCTCACACAATTAAAGAGCAGCGTTAAAGATAAACCTCATTTTTTTTCATTAGTGGTAATTTGAGCTTTTATATCAACATCTGTCGCTTTGATACGAACACGGTACGTCGAGTCTCACCTCCAGAGTTTCCCTCAGACGCCACACACGAAGAAATGAAAGTACAGGAATGGACCTACAAAGGTACAAAGGCTTTGAACATTGGTGCATGTTGGTACCTTCTTGTCTGGACCTCTAAAAGAACATTTCTGTTCCTTTGTGTCCTGGTACAAATATATACCCACTGTAAAGGTGCAGGATTGGTACCATGTTTTATTTATTTTTTTGTATTTTTGCCTTTATTTTGAAAGGTGCAGTGAGAGAGAGAGACAGGAAAGTCAGGGAGAGTCATTTTGTACCTTAATGAGGCAAAAACATTTACAGTTATTGACCAAAATATATTTTAAACTGATGATTAATTTGCATCTTTTAACAAAATCAACATTTAATATGTAAACTGATCAATTTTCAGTGTGTTTCAGTTCATTGTTCTGATGGAACAAAAAGCAGCTTTTCAACATGAAGCCGAAGCATCAGACCTGAGGAGCATTTCTCCAGTCACTGCTGCATTAGATTCAGTGTTTGAACACTGGCTTTGTGAGGCTGCCTCATGCCCCAACAACATCATTAAAACCATTACAACAATGTAAAACACACACCCAGCTATGTTATTAATGAAGCTGATCAGATCAGCCCCAGACCAAGAACTTGAATGGAAATTGTCGCCTGTTTGATTTCTCTATTTAAATGAAGATGTTGTGATCAGTGATGTGCAGCATCATCTGCCTGAACCTTCATTACCATTACTCAGCAGCGTCAGCAATGATTTTGTACCTTTTTGAATGAAGCAAAGCCATCTTCAACTAAGAGCCACGTTTCCATGGTAACAATCAGTGACGTCCGCTGACCGGAGACACCAAGTGAAACCAGCAGGTCTTCGTCTCAGCTGACAGTAAAAGCCAATGTGATGCTGTGTGGTCTGAAGGTTGTCATACCAACAGAGAGGAGTCCTTCAGTTGAAGTGGTTGACAGGTGTGTGTGTGTGTGTGTGTGTGTGTGTGTGTGTGTGTGTGTGTGTGTGTGTGTGGTCAATCCAAGATGGCGGCATCGTCCTTTTAACTAAGTCACATGTCACAGAGGAAACGTCCCTCATGTTTCTCGTGAACGCAACTCCACAGCTTCAACCATCTGAGTCACTCACTCACAACGCAATCTGCCCTGACAAGCCAAGGGTGAAGGTGTCACCGTGTGTGTGTGTGTGTGTGTGTGTGTGTCATGTAGAGAGAGAGACTGGAGTAAAGTGTGTGTTTGTCGCTGTGGATTATGATCATGTCTTTTGTCTAGAGCTGACGTCGTTGGCAGGATTACTCAAGCAGGCCAACACCCAACTCCACACACACACACTCACACACACACACACACACACACACACACACACACACACACACACACTGACCTCTGTGTCAAAGTCAAATGCGCAGCGCTCAGGCCTGTCAAACTATATCATTCTCTGCAGCGGACAGACGAGCAAATACAAACATACAAATACCTTCACATATGCGCTTATGTGTCACACACACACACACACACACACATACACATACACACACACACACACACAGGTGGACTCTGTTGGTCCCAAATAGCGCCAGGGTCGCTCGTCTTTCACCCGGCTGACCTGACCATACGACATCTTTCACCTCTCTTCCCCCCTCTCTCTCTCTCTCTCTCTCTCTCTCTCTCTCTCTCTCTCTCTCCGACGCGCTGCGCTGCTACATTCATCAAGACAGGAAGAAGAATCATGTGAGAGTAACGAGGCAGCAGAAAGGCTCAGGATTTAACGAGGAGAGAGAGACAAAGAAGGAGAGGAAACAGGATGGAGAAACACAAAACTAGGACAGGCAGTAGATTAAGCTCAGCAGCTGTACACTTATTGCCTGTGACAGTTCCTTGTGCATTAACATACAGTATGCATGATGTAGTGGATACTGCAGGACACGGACATAATCTCCCAAACTACTGTATGAATTTGCGTTTTATTTAAACAGGGATTTTCAGCTTTCACCACACTTTTCTCTGCAGTTGCATTTCAGGATTTTACACAGTGATGATGCAAAGTTACAGCGAGGGTGAAGGAGGAGAGAGAAATAAATGCATTAGAAATGAATAATAGTAATATCTGAAAATATGTTGTTACAGTCAAAACTCAAAAACTTATTTCTTCACTTTAGCTTTAACTAGTAAGTGATCTGGATCTGACTCCTGCTCCATCCTTCTTCCAAGTTCAGTGCAAATCAGTTCAGGACTTTTTGTGAAATCCTGCAAACGTCTCAAGTCCAACTTGAGTTTCGTGTCACTTTGTGGAACCAAAGTCCGACTTGAATCAAAGTCGTAAACTCGAGTCTCCATCTCTGCCTTAGTTTATTACTTTGTGTGATCGGATGTCTCAGGTTTTACCACTGATCGATCTTCCCCGTCTCGACTTGTTCATCTTTCTGACGTGATGTTGAGAGGTTTGTGTTTGTTGTTGACTGCAGGTCTCGACTCGCTGATTTCCACATGAACTGCCAGATGACATCTCACACCGTCACCAGCTGCCCTCACGACAACTACCACGGCTGCCTGATGTCGTACGTCGGCCTCATCGGTGAGTCTGACCCTCGGCCTGTCTCTGACATCATGTTCAAATCGCTTGTTTAGCTGATTTAAGAAGCCGGTTCCAGCTGATTTGTGGCGTTTTGGTTTGAATACTTGCTGACTGTTTTTCTGAACTCTTGGCCTTGGCGACATTAGCAGGGTAAAAAAAGACTCGACCCTCCAAACTGCCCCACGTCAACATGTGGAGGAACCTAAAGCAGCAGTTGCTTCTAAAACATGTTTGAATGTGTCTAAAGCCTGAAAGGCTGGAGTCTGAGGGACTGGTGACTCTACTGAGCTACTAATTTTATTATTATTGTTTATCTACCATTTATTGCTAAGTGTTTATTTTGCCTATTAAACTGATATCTGGACTGATGGGACAGATGTTTTGGATCATTTAGTTTTTCTTTGTAGAGTTTTAGGATTGAGGTATTTTGTGGCTGAAATTATATTTTGTACCGGCAGTGACTGGAGCCCTACACACAAGCTTTTGAAGCTTCTTGTGGTGTCCTATTTTCAGCCATTACCATTATTATGTTTTTTATACTTATTTTATTTTTTTCTTTCTGAAGGAAGGAACACACGCCGACTCAGTTTTAATGTGTTTAAAAAACCTCAGAGCAGCAGATTGATGGGACTAACATGTCACCGACTGACTGTGAAAATTAAACAGAAGTGACCATCTGCTGTTTCTGAGTCTCTGTTAGAACCAGGTGACTCACGACTTTAGGAACCATCCAGTGATTCAATTCCCAATTTGCAAAAATCCTCTTTGCTTTTCTTCTTGGCAAATCTCCATCTGCATTCTTATTCCTCCCCAGCATTAACTCTTGCCCCCCCACCCCCCCTTCCTTCTCTCTGTGTGTCAGGCTCAGATGTGACGCCCAACTACAGCGACAGCAGTCCCTCCAACATCACCATCAGCCTGTGGTGTACCTGCAGGGGCACTGGCAGTCAGGAGCGGGAGTGTGACGCCTTCCACCGGGACTTCACGCACAACACCTGCCTCAGTGAGTCCTCAGTGTGTCACTGTGTGTCTGCTGGACTTGTGAGGACCTCATGTTACTGCCGGTCTCATGAGGACCTCATGTCACTGCAGGTCTCGTGAGGACCTCATGTTACTGCAGGTCTCGTGAGGACCTCATGTCACTGCTGGTCTCGTGAGGACCTCATGTCACTGCTGGTCTCGTGAGGACCTCATGTCACTGCTGGTCTCGTGAGGACCTCATGTCACTGCTGGTCTCGTGAGGACCTCATGTTACTGCCGGTCTTACGAGGACCACGTTTAGACGCAGAGACAGAAAGAAAATTCTTCAGATGTCGGGCTTATCAGTGACTTGACGTCAGGAGCTTTAGGTCAGGGTTTCATCTGGCTGCAATTATTAATGAATGTTTTCCTTGTCAATCAAACTGCTGATTATTTTCTTCATTAATTGTTTTGATCTATTGAACATCTTGTCCTCAAAAATGTATGTTCTTAACAATCTCTTAAAGCCCAAGGTGTCAGTCCTAAAGCCAAATATATTCAGTTTATTTTCATGTATCAAAAGTCCATCAAAGGACATAAAATATCTGAAATTATTAGTTCATTAATTTTCCAATAAAATAATTATTTTTTTCATGTATAGAAAAGAAAAATACTCACATTTGAGAAAATAGCACAAGTTTATTACTGCTTAAACAATTAATATTTTATCAGCGTATTTGCCAAATAGTTTTCTGTCAATCGACTAATCAATTAATCAGTTAATCAACTTATTATTTCAGCTCTAGTTCAGTTTACAGTGACATGAATCTGAGAGAAGCAGAAAAACATTCACATTAAGAAGCTGGTCCCAGAAAATCTGTGTCATCTTTCCTGAAACATGTCTGAAATACCTGTCGATTAATTTTCTGTGAATTGATTATTTGATTAATCAACTAATTGTTACAATTACATTCATATTAACCAGAGAAAAACAGTAAAATACTCACCAAGATTATTTTTATAATTTTTTAACCTAAAGATTTGAGAAGCTGGTTCCAACAACTCTGTGTCGGCAAAATACCTGTCGATTAATTTTATTTCTTATCAATTAATGAACTAATTGTTTCAGCTCTAATTCACTTTGTGATAATATAAAGCAGTTAATTATCAAAATCCATCCTAATTAATCTTATTTGGTTACCTATATGATTAATCAATAACCTGACAAATCATTTCAGAGGTTTTTAGAGGGAAGGGTGAAGAGTGAGGACTGGAAGGACCTCACAAGTACTGTAACATAAGAGTGTGTGTGTGTGTGTGTGTGTGTGTGTGTGTGTGTGTGTGTGTGTGTGTGTACAGTAGTGTATATATAGGTGGAAAAAACACAGTGAGCAAGGCAGATAATTGAGGAGGAGGAGGAGGAGGAGGAGCTGATCCCCTGATGCTCTCTTTAAATAACACTGACCCAGCTACAACATCACCTCTGCTCCTCCTCCGTCAAACAAACAGCCTCCCTCCTCGGCTCTAACGTGAACGCACACATGCACGTCCGTGTCGGCCTGTGGCAAAGACCAACCCCCACAATGCACTGCATAATTTCATCATGTATTAAACCTTATTGGAAACTAATCGCGCAGACCACAGAGCGTAGGGAGATGTGTTGTGATTACTGTGCAGGAGTTCAGGCGTGAATCTGATCTCTTCTCGTTAGGAAACAGGAAACAAACGCGTCTAGTGGTCAAACCCTGCAGCGACTTGACGAGACATTTACTTGTAGTGACTCGGAGACACAGTGTCCACTTGTGATCATGGGATGATGAGAAACGCTAAACAGTTAGCCATGCTTCGCTCTGTTGTAGGGCTGAGTATCTCTCCGTCTGTCTCTCTCTATACTATCACAATAAAGGCAAAAATGCCCAAAAATATAACTTAAAATAAATAAATAGATAAAACCCTGAGTATACTGAAACAAGCAACAGGGTGTTTAATTAAACAGTCAATCAAAAATAATTTAGATGTTAATTTGACTCTTTTTGCAGCAGGTGTAAGCGGGAAAAGAGCAGCAGAAACAGAGACCTGGAGAAACACGATGCAGCAGTAACCTTCACATACCGTCACACGTCCGCACAATCACTGCTGCAGCTGCACGTCTGCTCTCCACAGAGGCGCCTCCGCTCCGTGTTGAGAGGTTTCCATCGGAGGCCTGTTCATTAATCATTCACCAAACACATCAGAGTGGATGATGCTGCACCACCGCGGCCCCCCCGCCGACAATGTCTAATGACTCCATTGACTTCTTTTTGTTGAACGTGTTGGACTTGAAAGGTTTGTTTGTTTATTGGCGCTGCGGCGGCGGCAGCAGGGAGCCGTGGGTTTTCTATGTATGAAATCAAACACAGAGCGTGGAGTGAATGTACTGTATGTGTTGTTCTTTATTCACAGTGGTCTCCGGTCTTCCACCGCTTGTTGAATTTCTGACCTTTCTCCAGATTTATTTAGACACATGTGTAGGGCCAGGGCATCCTCTGAATATTTCCCAGAATCCTTTGAACGTGTAAACACATATATTGACGCTGTAGGTTCAGTATTGAGACGTGGTTCATCCTCAGGACGTTTGAGTTTCGGTGCAGGACGATGATATATCTGATGTCGATGCCTGACAACATCAGGATGTTTGTTCAGTGATGAATGTGATTTGGTGACGTGACTGTTCCAGTGCGGGTCACTGGATGCTGCTGACAGTCAGCTGATGAAGTCACACAGGTTCAGCTCTCTTATATCAGCACCAATAACTTGGACATAAACAAGGTCCAGTGTATTTTCTCAGAGTTTTACAGAGGTCCGGTTCAGTCCTACACACCTCACCACACACCTTGTCTTTTCAGGACAAACGTCTCTGAACAGAAACAACAATGTGCTGGTTTGTCCTCCATGTTTGTTTTGGTACAAGAACATGTGACAGGTGGAGTTCTCTGTGGATCTGTGGGCTCGTCCCTCCACAGCTCCAGGGGTTCAGTGTGTCGTCTGGTGTGTTTACTCAGTGGTAAAGTTCCTGCTCCTTCCTGATGGTCGCAGACTGAAATCATCTGTGCAGGTTGAAGGAAACAGTCTTTATGTGGTTTGTTCAGCTGGTCTTCAGGTTTGTCCTGAACTCCCCCAGTAAACTGGAAAATCATGAGTTGAATTTTTTACATTTCTTTTTTCAGACACTTCAAATCAACTTATTTCCATCTGGACCTCGTCACACCTCATGCACATAAAAAAAACAAACAAAACAATAAGGTCCATTTTTCTTCAGCAGCTTTAATCATAGACTCTCTATTTACACTGTTAAAGCTCCTCCAGTGTAAATGTCTGTGTCCATGTGTAGTGTGATTATAGATCAGCTCTAGCTTCTATATTAATACTGTGAAAGTATCAAAGCCTCAGTCCACAGAGAAATGCACACAGCCTGTATTCAGAAACTGAGCCTTAAAACCAGCCGTCAGGACTTCTGGAACTTTGTGATGTCACAACAAAGCAGTCACCAAGCCCCGCCCACCTGGACCCACCATCCAAACCTTGCAGGATTTGGTTTCTCTGAGTGTTTTTACCTGAAATCTGATCAGAAGAGAGGCTCAGAGCCTCCTCTCTTCTGATTGGCTCACCGACCTGTTGTAACTAGAGCTCCAGAGAGAAGCCTGAGAGAGGAGAACCACAAATATATGTTCTCATGGATCAACACTTGAAATAGAACACAGAAAAAATATGGAGCGTTAAAAACTCATTTTACAGTGTTACAGATTTTATTTCAACTCCGTTTATAAATGTTTCTATTTTTCTCCTTTATATTTTATATTTATTGATATTTATTTATTTTGAGCTGCAGTTCCGACGCTTTAATACTGCGGTGCATGATTAAAAACACACTGTGTATCACTACAGATATCTTTGTGAAATGAACTGATTTCCATAGAGATTACAGCTCTGGTTGTTTTGGAGTCAGGAGTTGAGATGACTGACTGTCTCTGTGGATATTAGCAGGTCTGATGTTGATGATCATTCACTCCTCTCTCCCTTCCTCTCACAGAAAACGCCATCCAGTCGTTTGGTTACGGCTCAGAGGGGGGGACTCTTCTGGTGACCGAACCGTCGTCCACCTTCTTGCCCCCCGCCCAGCCGCCGATCCTCTCCAAACCCGCCCCCTCTCTACACGGCAACGCAATCAAACCCCTGGACGGCGCTTGTGTGTTTTCCACTTGTGCCAACCTGCAGGTGAGTTTACCTGCCTGTGTCTCGTCGTGACGTCCGTCTCCCTTTTGTCTCGAGTTCATCTCTCACTGAGGACGAGTCCGGCTGCCTGTGGAAGCAGAAATCCTCCGTCCAGATGTGACTGATGTCTGAGCAGAACAGATTTATGTGCTTCGCTCTTCGTCACCCTCACACACACATTAGCGTCACCCTGCCTCCATCCTGGGGAAGTGGAAACCCATCCATTATGTACAGGGAAGGGGTGTAAGGCTGCAGGTTGAAGGCCAAGATAAATTGCTATCCATTATGTAAGAGATTTAAAGCATGAATTATAGAACACCCCGACATATAGAGCGGCCAGATGTAGAGGTGTTTTAACAAAGAGCTTCATTTTTAACTCACACATACGTCAATGTGGAGACGAGTGAAGATGTATGAAGCTGCGTCTGCTGGAAAAAGCTAGAGCTGGAGTCAGGGCATGGTTAGCTTAGCTTAGCTTAGCTTAGCATAAAGACCTGAAGCAGGGGGAAAACGGCTAGCCTGACTGACACTTTATATCCGTTCACTAACAATGGTGTGAAACTCAGGAGGAGTTTCGTGCTCGAACTGTTTCTTGTGGAGTAACAGTTGGTGCAGTGACTGTGTGCAGCTTCCCGAAGGCTCATGGGTAATGTAGTATTTAGAGCTGTCTGCAGACCAACATGAGAACACGTCAGACTGTAGCTTCAGTCTCATGGTTTCCTCATGAATCATCTTTTTTTTTAATTCTGATGTAGCCGACCTAATAACAGGGACTTTAGGAAGCGGCGGTCGAAGTGACGCTACGGCGCCCCTTTGCATTCCAATGTGTTGCCATAGTGATGGAAATCAAAGATCGCTAAGCAACATTTAACTCTCACAATGGCCTCACTTCTTCAGAAAAACCGAGGTCGCTCTGAACGCTGGTACAGTCTGTCTCTTTAAACGACCCGAGAGATGTTGATATTTGATTCGGAGACAATTTAATATGAAATCAGGAGTTTGAATTGAAATTGGTCTGTGACTTCAGCACCACGGACAGCGTCACGGTTTCTTCAAAACACAGAGGATGGAGGTTAACAGCAGTTTGTACTGACGTGTCTGTGAATAAACTGGAGAAATGATCATGTATCTTTAACAAATGTACTCATCCATAAAACTACTGATGGTATGATTAAATATAAACTAAATGACAGAGTCAACCTCTTCACGTATCACAGGTAAACTGATCCTTCTCCTGTCGTGGACAGTTGAGCTGCAACAGAAGGTTTGGACCTGAAGTCTACGCCATCACATCACGCTGTAGCGTCACTTCAACCATCGCTGCTTAAAGTCTCTAATGCAGTTTCCTCACTCAAACGATCCAATATCCGTTTAAATGAAGCTTCATGTAGAATATTTTCAGCTCTTTATCTTCCTGTGAAAACAGCTCTTTCCTTTGGCACTACATTTTTCAACCGCTGAACTACCGTACTCCTACGCACAAGCACCTACAGAGCGCGCTGATTAGAATCTACTGCAGGTAATGTAACATGAATACCTCACATAGCCCCACGTCAAAAAACCTAAAGTATCCCTTTAATTCAAAGCCCAAACACAGAGGAGAACATTTGTCTGTAGTTCCACATGTCTGCTGTTAAGCAGTGGGTCCGCAGGATGTGTTGTCATCCTGTGTATGAATGTTGTAGCAGCTCTGAGTGTTTCATGTGTATTAGCTGTGTATCTGTTGTCACATGAGTAACCCTGCTGTGGGTGATGAAGAGCAGCAATCTGAGCCGCCGTCAGTCAGCAAACAGCTTTTCTAAATACCTGGAACGTGAGAGCGAGCGCTTCCAGTAAATACGAACCCTCGGCGCTGGCAGAGACGAAGCGCAGCCGACAGAGAAACGGACAGGAAGCAGATAAACACAGAGATATGATATGGAAAAGAGGGAGAGAGGGAGAGAAATGATGTAATGTAGCAGATCTCCCTCAGGATGCAGGATATTACCTCATGCGTGCTGCAGTGAATTTGTTTTCTGAATTGTATTATTTCCCAGAGCTCATGGATGCAGCTATCGTTTGTGTGAGCGATGCCGAGCAGTCGGTTTGAAGCAAACAGGCCTGCAGAGGCGTCCGGTGTCAGAGGAGGTTACTGCAGTGATAGTCAATATGATAATGATTCATCCGCATGGTTTAATGATCGCTCTAACAACCTTGTGTATGTGCACATGGATGCATATTTGTGGATTTGCACACGCGTCTTTCAGAGGGAATGATAATGATCCGAGACGTGGAGTTTTTCCGGGCTGCTCTCCATGATTTCCCTGTCACTGAAAAGAGTTTTCTTCTTCCTCTTCTCCCGTCGAGCGATAAGATCTGATTGGCTCTCCCACCCGGGCGACGGGAGGAGATATGCTAATGAAGCGCCGACAAAGAGGCCGATGGAGGGCTCAGATAAGTGATGCAGTGTGCGTGTTTTCGAGCGAGCATAAGTGTGCATCTTTGTTTACGCTGACGTTACTGCTCTGCATTTCAATGACGGTGAATCTACTGAGCCCTGCTCAACTGTGTCTCATCCTTCCCTCTGACAATAATGAGAAACTGAAACAACAGGTTTCTTTCTACAGTTTCCTCACTCAGAATCACCATTTACATTTTCCCCAGTGGAGGGACACAGGACTCTCCCATCGTGCAGGTTTATGTTCTGACCGGTTTGAATCATTTACAGAAATCATCTCCTTTTTTTTTTTACCCATGAGCCTTAGCTGCTGTTGCTGTGAGAAGAAGCCAGTCAGAGGTAATGGATTAGAGCAGTGGTTTCATCATTGCAGTTGTGAATAAAATACGTTGCTATAGTTACTGAAATGATCTTCTGGACGTTGCCATTTTGTTTTCTCAGAAGTGTTAAAGCTGTAGTTTCGTCTCGCGGTCAGCGGAGCGTGGAGCAGAATTTTAAAGCTTGTTGATTGGATGCTCTTTGGGAGTTGTTGTCCACAGACTTGACTCTTTTTTTTAAAATCAGATATTTTCAAACACAGCTGTTCGTTTGTTTTATTGACGACTCAACTGGGAGAATCGAGTAAACCTGAGCAGGTCTTAAAGTGAGTCTTTATGTTGTTAATCTCTGAAAACAGAACCTTGCCTGTTTTATTAGCAGACTCTGTACGTTGTCAGTCAGTTGATACGAAACTGTGATATTCGCTTTATGCAGACGATGCACATTTCTATCTTGTAATTCAGTTCCAACATCTCCAGCAGTCTAACGTCTTCTTACCTGTCATAATGATACTAAACACCAAATTCAATCAATCTCAGGTCATATCGAAGCCAGTTCAACAGGAAGTGAAGCAGCCTGTAAATCTTGGTGTTATTACTGATGCAGATTTTTGACCAAGTGAAAAACATTATCAACATGTTTCTTTTTTTTACTCATGAAAATCAAATTCGATCATTTTTGTTTCCTGTTGATCTGCATAAAGTTTTACATGCTTTTATTTTTCGTGTCCAGATTATTCTCTCTCTTTTCCCATTCATTTATTTAAACCTCGAACATCATTAAAGTTTTTCCCTCATTTGAAACGACGTTGAAACACACAGAAATACTCAGAGGTAAATTAAAAAGAGGACACCACTCAGTGAAGGTGAGGTGGTTTGAGATCATCGTCTTGAATTGTCCAGGTGTGGTGAGCGTGTCGATTATTCCATGTGTTGGGCAGATTTTCTAAGCAGAATAAATCCAGGTGACTTGAAGCAGATGAACAGTCAGTAGAGTGAGGTTGAGTGTATATATGCATCAGTCATCGTCCACTGACTCCACTGACACTTGCGGCACAGCGACACCAACAGGCGGATACCTTCACAGCGCCAAATACCCCAGAATCTGGAGATGTAGTTGCCCAGATATTTCAAACTATGACCTCATATATGATGTAATCATGGACATGCTCTGATCACGCCATTGTAAGACGTCCTATCCAAAAAGATATGATCCAGATACTTGCAAGAACCTATAAAGGATATCTCCGGATCCTTGGGGTTTTGGTGCAGTGAGTCCCTTTATATTCCCTCATACGTCCCTTTATATAATCCTATTGTTGGGCAGGACTCTACTGGTCATCCAGATCTCGGCTGGTGACGAAAAGTGTCCGGACCTTTGCAGTTAGAGCCTCCGACTCTCTGTCTGTTGTGATGAAAGAACGTTCTTTGCCTTTGTGAATATTTAATACGTTACGTAATAATCTGCTTTTATCTCCACGTTTTGTTTTTACTTGAATCGACTTGGAGTTTGTGCTTCGTCTCCTTGGAGAGCACTTTGTGTCTGTGTTCGGAAAAATGTAAATCAAATAAAGTTTATTCTTGTTGTTATATCAGTGGGCTCCTGAAGCATCCTGGGGAAAACTGGGAAAGCAAAGACACTTTTGTGCAAATGAAGACTTTGAAATGCGAGCGAGAGCAGACAGTCCGTCAGTCACAGACAAACACTGTGATCAATGTTTGTGAATGGCGTGTCGGTTTGAGAGCGACATCCTGTAATTATAATGCAGGAGTCACAAAAACAGTGTGTTTAATGAATCGGAGTTAATGAGCTGAATGTGAGTGGGCAGACGGAGGAATATAAAGCAACAGAGCCGTGATTGTGTGTTTCCGATGCTTTCTCATAATGAGTTCTTGTTTTACAGGATGGAGGCCAAAAGTGCATCCCCTCTGATGAGTACGAGTGCGAAGAGGTGAGGAGCCGTGATTACACACCTCTGTGTGTTTTGACGCTTTAAAAACTAATTATGGAAGTAACAGGTTTTGTGAAATTGCACACATTGACGGGGAGTGACGACAAATTGTTTTCCCTGCAATCATGCGGCGGATGGCGGTGCACAGGTGGTAATCAGGTTCAGTTCTTTTCTGTGAGGTTCAGGTCCATCATCATGTCGAACCGGCAGAAAGTCGTCACGATAGAATATTATTATCAGTTCAAAACAGAGAGGCCGGTCATTTCCACCGTACAAAGAAACAGCTGTACCTGTAAATAACTGCATTTCCGATACAGTGTTTAATGATTCTATTTTTATAGAGATGGAGTTTACACTGTTCACACTTCTTCTTTTATTGAGAAGTTGATCAAAAGAAGAGATAAACAACAATAAAGAAGAGAAGGGAGAGGAAAAGACGACAGACTCATCCTCACTGATTCAGCAGTTAATAAACAAACATATTTTATACCAACAGGAAATGACACGTGAGGCGTCATCACTGCAAATTAAACTTAACTAACAAATTAAAGAATGTGTTTCGATGTTTTTTACACAATGACTCTGCAGGAGAAACAAGCGATTCTGCTCCGTCGTAATCACACGTAGAGCTGATGTTTATAACGACCTCATGGATTTATGAATTTATAACGTAGAGCTTTTCATGCTTCGAAACCAGGAACAAGGACGTGAGTTTGGTGACGTCATCATGGTTTTCTGCGGAGATGATTGGTCAAATGTCCCTACCGTCCGTATGAAACTTACACCCGTGATAAACACTTAAAACATCCTTACAACAATTATTCATTAACCATTTATTAACCTTCCTGTCGTCTCAAATGTTTTTATAATGTCATCAGAAATCTGGTTTTTCTTTCACTTATTTGCCTGAAAATAACATGAATGGTTCCTTTCTACACTTTCTGCAAATATAATTAATAATCAAAATTTTCATTAAATTTTGGGTGTTTTATTCAACTTTATAAAATCTGTGCTCTTCTTCAACGATGGTTTCCATCAACACGTTCCTCTGATTGTAACTACAGTCGAAATAATTCAACATTTCATCTTTTTTTTTACTGTAAATCGAGGTGTATTTTTATGTAAATGAGGTTTATTGATAATAAAATGTGTTGTTATTGGGTAATAATAATAATAGTTTTATAAACAGACAGATCAGAGAGTTTCATGTTGGATGGGAAGACGATACGAAGGATGAATGTTTATGCTGCTTATTGATGCTTAAAGGTTCCAGCATGAAGAATTTCACTGAATAATTCCTCTATCACCCCCCCCACCCCCCACCCCCCCAGGCTCTGTTGGCCCAGGGGTCAATAGACTCTCAGGACTCTGCGGGGGCCAAGAGCAGCAGCCGGCAATCAGCTCCACTCCTCCACCACATCTCTGTGACTGTGTGTGTGTCCACGGTTCTACTCTACGTCTCATAAATGTGAACTCACAACTCTCACACACACACACACACACACACACATGCATACGCCCACACACACACACACGCACACACACACACATATATACACACTCCTAAATGGCAAGACCCAGAGAAAGTCACGTGACTCGGCGCCCTTCACTACGGGAAAATGTCAACCAGACGGACGGGCGTCCAAACATCAACAACAGCCTTTCAAAGGAGGGAAAGCGTTCTGGAGGACGTTCAGACGAGCTGCCTCTCTCTCTCTCTCTCTCTCTCCGCCACACACACACACAACGAAGACGAAGAATGGAGGAAGGCGGTGGCGAGAGAGAGAGAGAGGGAGAGAGAGGGAGGGCGGTGAATAAGAACAGCAGAGACAGAGAGACTCTTGGGATTTTGGATCACAGACTTGGTTTCCAGCGCTCCCTGTCTGTCTGGAGGGTTTGTGTGCTTTTTGTGCCGCCCGGCTCGGACTCGCTCCCTCCAGCTTTCTTGGATCTGAGACAGCTAGGCTGAAAAGCACAAAACCACACACACACACACACACACACACACACACACACACACACATATTCTTGGACAACAAGTCTTAAAGTCAGAAGCGTGAGAAAGAGAGAGAGAGAGAGAGAGAGAGGATGGGATTTCCAGGATGGACAGATGGGACAGATCCTTCCACGGTGTTTGTCAGCTCAATTTATCACTCCCCTGGATCCTCTCTCGTGGCAAGAAATCTATACGACATACATACAAAGCACAAACACACACACACACACACACACACACACACACGTATACACACACTCACACACACACACACACACACACACACACACGTATACACACACTCACACACACACACACACACACACACACACACGTATACACACACTCACACACACACACACACACACACACACACACTGTCGCCCTCCCCTTAGACCTCGTTAGCGGGCAAACAGGGTCCCCACACAGACACAAACACTCATGCTGTTACACCAGTGTGCTTTTTTGCGGGTCTTTCTCTTAATTTTGTCGTCGACATTCTGTAAAAAAAAAAAAAACAAACAAACAAAAAAAAACTTCATTTAATGTGGAATATGAAAACAATCTCATCCAATGGAGTCTCAGTGGAAGAGTGTTTATTTCACATACCGTAAATGTATAGTTGTGTGAGCGGGTGAGGTGTGTGTGTCTGTCTTTGTGTGTGTGTGTGTGTGTGTGTGTGTGTGTGTGTGTGTGTGTGTGTGTGTGTGTCTGTGTGTGTGTCTGTGTGTGTGTTTGGAAACAAAGAAACGCTGTAAAGATCTGAGTCTTATAAGCAACTGAAACCACGTTGTGAAACTACTGACCGCTTCATGTGATAATATGAATATTTCACTCGGTCCTCTTCCTCTGCTCTGGGTTTGATCATTCTGTTGAAACAGGACTTTGGACACGTACGAGGAAATACTCCAGTAATTACATGTTGAATAAAACAACACACACCGAGGAACCAGCGTGTATGGGATTAAGATTTCCTGTGTTGCTAATATTTCCTCTTTTCCTGCAGATTTAATCCTTTCATCATATTGATCATATAGTTTCAGATTTAACTTTAAAATGGGATCAGACATCTCTCACCCTCCACTGCGTCAGCCATGCTGCTCTCCCTCATCTTTCATCTAGTTTCTCTGGATTGAGGTGAAAACGTCACACAAACAAGCTCATGTCACTGTAGGGTGTATATATAGTATACATATATATATACTGTATATATATATATATATATATATATACACACACATATATATATATATACAGTGTGTGTACCACATTGGTCTTGATATAAGAGGAGACTGTTTGAAACAGCAGGGTTCATCTCATAGTCACTTTATGTACATAGTACTTTATTTCATAGTCATTAGTGTAACATGGCCTTCTACAGACAGTGGTGCATTATGGGTTGTTTGTGATACGATGGTGTTGGACCAGACAGGAAATCAAAGGTGTTTATTGAGGATTCAGAAGTGATTTCATTTCACATCTTATTTTATTTTTATTCAATTGCTTATAACATTCAAATAATTACGTCTGTTGTTTTGCTTCTATAAATGTGTTTAACCTGTGTGAGTGTGTGTGTGTGTGTGTGTGTGTGTGTGTGTGTGTGTGTGTGTGTGTTTGTGTGTGCGTGCATGCGTGTGTGTGTCTGGGTTCTTCAGTGTGTACTTTACCTCTGGCCACTCTGTGGGGTATTTTTTATGTTTCATAGAAGGATGTGGAACATGAACAAAGGCCTGTTGTGCTGTGAGACCAGGTCAGAGGTCAGAGGTCAAAGTGGTCGTCACCTCCTGCCCTCCAGCTGGAAGAGAGAGACTCATCGGTGTCTGTGGTGTGGCCTTATTTTACTTTTCTTTCTTACGTACGTGAAAGAGGGAAAATTATGTTCATTGCCCCGCTAGCGGCCAGGAAATCACATGTGGCTACTCCTGGTCCCCAGAGGATGAATCCTCATGATTCAGCAGCACCGCCATCACAGTAAAGTTTACTTTTGAGCAACATTTATCAAGTGTGGATATTCATGGTCCCCAGAAGAAGAAACCAAACCAAGGAAACCAATTATTATAATCATGATTATTGTCTTGGTTCTTTGACATTCCAAAAATATGAAACTCTAATTGTCCTCGGTGGATAAAGCCTTTTCTTTTGGGACTCTTCACTCTATTAACATATTAGTGATCTCCAGAGGATAGATCCTAAAGATTCTGTTAATGTCGTGGCCTTTTCACTAGCACCACCACCAGGAAGAAGTTTGATTTTGACCAGTGTTTTCATGACAAGTTATCTTAAAATCGTTCAATTGTGGATATTCACGGTCCCCAGAGGAGGAATCCAAATGTTTAAGTTTATCACTGACGTCTATCATGCTAAATTTTCAATTTCTCTTTCAGAAATATCAAACTGCCAGACTGCAATAAAGATTACTGACATCATTCCTACTGATGTTGTTGTCTTGCTGTAAACTAAAATATGATTTTTCCAACTTTCCATCAAGTAGAAACACTAATTAATCTTGTAGATGGGACCTGATAAATCAAAAGCCAGAAATCGATTTTAAATAACAATTGTCTGTTCAAATGAAACTGTTTAGAGATAGAATTTGCCTCAGAAATAAGTGAGTTTATGTGACAGAGAAAAGGAGGTATCATCAGCAAAGAGTCGCAGAAATATAAACAAAGACACAGTGAGCTGTTATTTATGTTGATGAGAATAACAGGGACCCAAGAATACATCCCTGTGGGGCACCACAAGTCCATCCATTTATTTTTATGTAGTGTTTCTGATTAGTTATACATTTGAAAGTCATAACTTAATAAGCAAAATATTATCATGGTCAACTGTTTTAAACACTTTTCAAAAATCCATAAATACAGTCTACCCCAGAGCACATTCATTGGTGCTTAAAGCAGTGAATCACTTTTTTTCTGAATCATACTAGTGTTCATACAAAATCACGTTAATCCTAATCTGACCCCCAGTTGAGGAGCCACAGCTCTAGCGCCACCCTCAGGACAAAGTTGACACTTCTAATCCCAACTACCGTTTAGACTCTAAAGAAAAGATGAATTATCATATCAATAGATTCTTTCATTCTGTCGGGTGTTCATGAACATTACAGCGTCTACAGGCTGCTAGTGGGGCTTTATTCTTTCCATCTTGTTGTGATGATGTGGAGGGAAAGTGAGAAACGAGAGGATGGACGGAGGAGAGAGGTGAAAGTGAGATTGTAAATTTGCTGATATATTTGTAAACTTTAACAGCGCTACAGCAGTGTACCTGAAATATGTGTCTGGAGATCTAAATAAAAGTAACATCTGTAACAACAGTTGTTGACTTTTCTGTGTGTGTGTGTGTGTGTGTGTGTGTGTGTGTGTGTGTGTGTGTGTGTGTGAGAGAGAGTGAGTGAGTTGACATTGGTTCAAAGCCAAAGAGCTGGAAACGCAGAAACAGTGATGCAGGAATGTTTGACAGACTTCTTTTGCCCTGGGTTTTGTCTCTCAGGCTACGACCAGCTGCCCCACTTTACTGGTGGAGGTTGTTGGGGAGTTTGCAGCCTATAAAAAAGGGAATTCAGACACTTCTCAGTGCTGAAACCAGTAGTCTACTACTAGCTGCATTTACAGGTAAAAAATAAATTAATCCATATCTTTATTTACAGTTAATATTCTCCTAAATGATGCTAGAATAAAATGTCAAAGATGAGACTGCAGAGCGTAGAGATCTGTCTTTATGTCTATAAAGAAAACTAAGAATTAAAAAATAAAATAAAAGTGGGTCAGTGCTTTAACAACAGAGGTGTATTCAGCATTTCTACCTTCGGTTTTACAATTAGAGACGGGACTGATGCAAAACTCTCTGCATTTCTCTCAGTTACTCAGACCAACCAAACTTATATATTAAACTTACAACTGTTAATTATCCACATCATTTAAATATGATTACATATCACATTTCATTCACATCTATTTGAATGGAAAAATTCAGATGTCGCGACTGACCCCGACCCTGGGGACAGTTGAAAAATATACATATTGAAAATACATTAAATTTCACTGTGTTAACTTGCATGTATGCATTGTTTTACAACAGTTTTATAGTATTATTGATTTATTTAGTAATATTTATCAAAGAACAGTCTGAGCATGTGCAGTATGAGTGCATGTTTCTTATTGGAGGAATTAGGATTATTATGTAAATTATATAAATATATAAATATAAATTGTTTTAAGTTAATGGTTTTTTTTTTGTTTATGTTTTTGTTGCTGAACATTACAGGTTGTTTTTTTGTTTGTTTGTTTCATTTTTTTGCCTCAGCAGCCGCTTCCAGATTCAAGTGGACAAATATGCAACAACAATAACATTAATAAATTAATTAAATATGTGAATATCAATCTATCAAATAATTTATTGTTATAATGGAATAAGTTATCAGGCTTTCTAAATTAATCATAGTCTAATTTAAAAAAAAAAAAAAAA